CTTCACCTAAGGAGCATTCAAGATACCTGGTCTCCTGCTTACTGCGCCCGTTGTTACGTGTGCACTGTTTACATGCTTAGAGGATTAGCCACCTGGACCATGGATCGTTTGCATGCTCAAACTGCAAAGAAACTGGGGTCCTCATTTAAATGAGATACTGAAGATGAGGAGTGCTACTAGGGGTTGACTTTTTTTCCTTAAACATGGCATAACATTTAAAGCCTTACTTGTACTATCTCTGAATATGACAGAGCTTTCTTGGGAACACAAACAAAGAATTATGGGCTTTCACTGAAGAAATTTCTCTTCTAAGGCTTACTTGTGCCCATTAAATGCCCTCATCCTCAATAACAGGCCTGCACCAGCTGCAAGTCTACATGTACTATATTACTACAAACAAACCACCTGGAACTTACTTTCACAAGCCATACAAAGATATTTTTGAAAAGTCTCAAGGACATCTTCAGGACAATCTTTAAGCATCAGATGTACTATCCCTAGAGAATGTTATGCCCCCCCTACATTTTTGAACTAAGTTGTATTCACATTGGATTGCCTGGCTACATATTGTGGTCAGGAACGAAACTGAAATCCAAGAGCAGCAATACCTGTATTAGACCATTAAAATATGAAAAACAGGGGAACTTTCAAGTTCAGCAGGATCCTTCTTCAGGATTGGCACTGCAGAGTTAGAAGGGTTGGGGAAGAAAAAGTGAAGTCCAGGAACCATCCTAACTATATGCTGCAGAGTAAGGATTGCGATTAAAGTAATGCCAAGAGATGGAACCTGTGAAGTTGCTGAATAACCTTGAGGCATCATGCTTTAAAACAGGCAATATAAGATTATTGGTTTTTCCCTTTCTGTGCAGTTAAAGAGCTGCCAATCATGTGGTATCTTTTCCATCATCTAAATACTGATGGAAATAGCTACTGTCTGATTGGGAAGAGGAGCATAGAAATACACAAAATCTCTTACGTCTGACATGTTCACGAAAGCTCAAATTAAAATATAGCAGTTAGTCTTTAAGATGCCACAACATTTTTGGCTTTTTTGTTTGTTTTTGCCTGAGATGCTAGCACGGCTACCCCTTCTAAAACACCAAATCCTGTGTCATATGATTTTGAAATTAAGTTTAGATGACATGTTAGGCACAAGCCAACTGCCCCATATCAACTGGATCCAAGTTAAAGAGTACTAGCCTCCAGTTATAGGAAGATGGAATCTTTAGGTGGAACACTTCTTACTGAGTTATGGTAGATCTTTCCACACTTCTTTTAGTTTTGAATTTTCTTCAATGACCACATGACTTTTTTTCTCCTTTTAAAAATCAAACATTGAGGTATATTTGTACTAACAGATGTAAGCAAAGTTGTTCATGCATTTATAGTTCTGAGGAGTAAGGGGATTAAGCAGGGTAGTATTGCATTATTTTGTACTTCACACATCAGTATAAATTAGCCTAAACATCCATTTGTTCCATGAACATCCATTTGTATTATCACTAATGTAAAGAACTAAGAAATTCAATAAACTGAGGTCTGTGCTTTTCTCTATGCAGATTCAGGAACTTGTTTCACTTTAGACAACATGTTTCACAGTTTAGACAACAAACAGATCCCTAAATTTTAGCCAACATTGTCTTCAGAAATGGAGAGCCACTATTTAAGAAGTTATAGCATGCTGGCATAGGATTAGTTTTAAAACTGCATGCCCTCCAGCAGTCCAGTCACTCTGCCATCTCCATTCTGAGACTAAATTTCAGTTGCAAACCTGAAGGTACAATATCAGACTTAATGCTTGGACTTTTCTCTTCTTTTTCCAACTATTCATACCACCTAGAGTTCCAGGGAGGTATAAAGCTCACGTCCTTTGATTGCAATTTAGTTGATCCTAGTAAAAATAGTGTTCAACTGTCCCCTTTTGTTTTTACTCATAAAGCAGTGCAGCTTATCTTTGTTTTTTTATTCAGTAAACAGACTGTTACTAAGAGCTAAAAGCAAGCAAGATTACCACAATGGGTAAATGAAAAACTTGAAATATTCTTCATACACTGAGTAACTGTCCAATAGGTGAGAGACTGATAGGTAAGCAGTCTGGGCTGAAATACGATGTGAGCAGGTTAGAAAGCCCTTTTTAAATTAAAGGTGAAGGACCTGGATACACTGTTTCTTGGGAGAACAGACCTCAAAGCTCCACACATACACTCACTCACTTCTCCCATGGCTGATTTTTTTAGAAAAGCCATAAAACTGCATGAAAAATATAAATACATCTTTCCAGGACAAATTCGGCTATTCCGCTGTAATTTTCAAGAAACAATCACCTCCCCATGCCACTTTAATTTCATGAGCACCTTGGGAACCAAAATTTGCCCGTGACAAGGTGGCTTCTTATCTGGCCTTGATGGTGTCACACTCTACCTGAAGGATCAGGTTCACAATCTGGGTGTGCTCCAGAGCCGGGCCCTCTCAATGGAGAATCGGATCTCAGTCATGGTCAGTTTGCTTTTTTCCATATGAGGCAGACTACACATTTCCCCCTGCCCCTATCTCAACAGGAAATTTCTGATGACACTGGTTTATGCACTGGTAATTTTGAGGATTTACTGCAACGCTCTGTCCATGAGGCTACCCTTAAACGCAGTCCAGAAGCTGCAGATAAGTAGCAAAATTCAGCACCCAGGCTGGTGTCAGGAGTATCAAAATATAATCATATATTACCTGTCCTGGTGCACTTGCACTGTTTGCTGGTATGCTTTGATAAGTAGCAAAATTCAGCACCCAGGCTGCTGTCAGGAGTATCAAAATATAATCATATCTTACCTGTCCTGGTGTATTTGCACTGTTTGCTGATATGCTTCCAGGGCAAATTCAAGGTGCCTATGTTGACATTTAAAGCCCTAAATAGTTTAGGCCCTTGCTACTTATCTGAGTGCCTCTCCCTCAAAATGACCTTCTGTTTCACCTGCACATCTTAGTCTGGGATGTTACGGGTGGCCACCCTAAGGAAGGTCCGGAAATCAACAACTAGGAACCAGGCCTTCTCTCTGGAGGCTGCCTCATTGTGGAACTCTCTCCGAATAGAGGCGTGACTGGCTCCTTTCCTCCTAGGCTTCAGAAAACAACTGAAGACATGGCTGTTTACAGAGTCCCTTTATGGCCTTACCCCAGATTAACAACAGTGATTTTTTTTTTCACTATTGTGTCTCTCTTCTTCCATCACCATTTGTTTCTTGGCATTTATAGTTAGTATTGGACAACAATTAGTGTTGTTTTAAGATGATGTTTATTACTGAATTTTATTACTGAATTTTTATTTATGTTATATATATTTTTAAAAAAACACTAATCCTCCAGGGTGCCATTACAATGCTTGTGGCAGTTGAACAAGACCAAGGCTGCAAGCCTATGTGCACCTGGGAATAAGTCTCATTGATCTGGTTGCATAACAGAAGACTGTGCTGCATAACTAGCTTTTCTGCTATGTAAATAAGATGAAGGTTCTAATTGCAACAGATGCAACTGACATACTTGCAAGTGTTTTCCAACAACACTATATAAAAAAAGAAACTGATGAAAAGATGCTGAATAGCTAGCCATTTTGTTCCTGGGTCAGTTCTCAGTCACTATTGTATCTCAGTCACTATTTCCCCCAGGAAAACTGTGAGGGGAAACTACTAGATTAGAACATCTCACAAAGCAAGCCTACACATGTTTATGATGAAATAAATCCTAAAAAGTTCAATGGGAGCTATTCCTTAATAAGTATGTTTAAATTGCAAAATCACTATTTTACAGGACACGCAAGAAGATGTCAGGAGTCCTTAAACAAGGAAGCAACAGTTCAATTGCCAACTATCAGTAACTTTAGAACACAACCCTGTGTATGCTCACCAGGAAATATATCCCATTCCATCATACTGATCACACTGAAAACAGGCCAAACGCCATATTGAGGTCATGTTGTTACAGACCAACCAAACGTTTCATCTGGTGAAACAAATATGTTTCCAAAAGCTTTTGTATTTTGTCTGTCTCGTGCCACTTTTTTGTATGTTTTGGTTGGTCCAGAAAGGTATAAATTCAATACAGAAATTGGAATTTATTTTGCACTAAAACAGCTGCTTGTAAGGAAAACACCTTTCTCAGCCTAACCCTCATTATTACAGAAGGAAGGAAGGAAGGAAGAAAGAAAGAGGGCTTTATACCTGAAATCATACTATTGGTTCCTCCAGCCCCAGCACTATCAACTATGACTGGCAGCTGCTCTCCAGGGTTTTAGACAGGGTTCTGTCTTAGCACTATCTAATTATCCTTGATTTTTCCCTTGTGATTTCCTATCAAAGTACAAATCAGAACCAATCCTGCCTCTGAAATCTGACAAAAACAGATGTGTTCAGGGCAGTATGGTGACTCCAGAACAGTGAAGATGTGTCCCTTTCCAGCAGCAGCACAACTATCCTACCTCACATAGTTGTAAGCATTACTGAACATAACGCATTCTGAACATCTTCTGTACAAATACTGCTAGGATCATCCACAAGAAACAGAAAAGCCGGTCCCCTCAGGAGAGCTTCTCTCCAGCGCCCTGGATCGATCTCCCTTGCCCCTCAGTTGACCCAATGCACCACAAGAGAGGGGCAAATGAACCGAAAGCTTGTCCTTTGGGGCACATAGACCCACAGGATCCAGTGAGGAGATTTTGGTTCTGTGATGAAAGGAGGCAGCATCATCAGCCAGTGACGCCTTCCTTTCCCCCTTAGGTACAGTAACACCACAGGGCTCCGTTCCCCACCCCATCCCTTCCACATCAGTCACATATACAAAGGGTCCGGCCATCCCATAATGGCCACACTTCTAGCTAGTACAGCTTTCTGACGTCTGAACATAAAGAGAGAGGCCGTTACAGCTCAAGGTGATGCTCTCCAGCCGAAAGGCCTCCCCTCAGACGCCGGCTTCCGCTGCTGTCCTCGGCTCCAAGGCAGGCTCAGCCCCCTCACCGGCCGGCCGAGGCCCAGGCGCCCGAGGGCGAACGTACCTCTGGCGGTCTCGGTCGGGTAGAGCTTCTGGGCCTTGTTGAGGAAGCGCAGCGCCCGCTCCCGGTTGCCGGCCTCGAGGGCCTCGCGGGCGATCCCGATGCAT